TAGGAACAAAAACGAGTCGAACTGCGCATGTCACATGCGGAATGGAATTTGTGTGAGGAGAGTGTTGTCGACTCTGATGAGATCGAAATAGGAAAATACTCCAAAGTCATTGATGAAAATAAGGTGTTAATTAGGGTAAACAAAAGTAGTTGGAAAAGTACCAATTCGTGGACATTTTTGTCAAATTATTGTGAATATACGCTTATTTGGCACTTTTCAAATTATTCACCTCATCTGCATTTTCGTCAAATTATTGCGCATATGGTATAATTTTGACGTGAAGCCATTTGTCTTTAAGTGTGTTGTGTGACCGGTTTTTTTTTGTTTCACTCACATAATTCTTCACATATTTGGTTGTATATTCACGTTTCATTTTGTTGTTAGGATGATGGTTTATAGTATCGTCCTATCGCATGTGTGTTCACCCCATCTGGTTGAATGATTCGCTTGTCATCGTTCGCAGATAATGCAACCTTGTTGATCTCTTCCATGTACATCTCATGTTTTCGACTTCGAAGGGTGTTCATTTTTCGTAGCTGTTTTCCACCACCGAATAGACGTTTTTTGTAGTCATCAAAGCTAATGGTACGGTCTACCACTCCTTGTTTCACCCCCTTACACTTTTTCACTTCTTTTTCTTCATCAAACATTTTGTAGCTGTAAAGCTTTGCTCTCAAGCCGACAAACTCTTCAATGATCTTTCCACCTGCCTCATCTTTAAACATTCCAATAACTTTCTTGTTCACATCGGTTGATACCCCAGAAGGATGTTCTTTCGAAATGTTGCTCGTGTCAAACCAACGGTCTACATCACCAGTTATATCTTTGTAAAAATCTGATGTGTGAATCTCATAACAAAGACTGTCAGTGTCTGTGAAAAGAAGCTTTGATTTGTCATTTGGGTACTTAGGTTTGATGTAGTTGTAGTGGAAGTCGTACATCAATGTCTTACTGATATCGAGGATGCTCATCCCCAGATAGAGAGGTTTATTGAAGTAAATCTGCGTCTTCCCCATATGTATTGCGCTGAGATCTTCTGAGAAGATGGTGAAATATTTGAAGTTGACCTTGTTTGTCAACTTCTTTGCCTTTTCCTCTGAGTTGACAAGTTTCACATCAACGCGTTTTCGAATGTTCTCCATGGTTTTACCAAAAACAGCGTTGTTCATCGGTTTGTAGAAGTCTTTCTCAAAGTCGTTGTCAGCCTTTGATCTCAAAGATGTGTTGAGATCAATATACTCGTTCATCCAAGGTTTTTCTTTGAACCTGATGACGCGGTGGATCTTTCCGATTTCAATTCCCAGTGAGTTATACATTTTTAGTGTCTCATGATGAACGATGTACTTCTTCTTTTCGTTTAACGTGCAGACCACGTTTTCTACTTTACCAATCAACAGATTCTCAGGAGCGGGTGGATAGTCATTGAATATATCATAGACCTCACAAMTGA